TATCCACACTGTCAAACACCTCTCATAGTCAAGAGAGCTGATGCATAGTCTCCAGTTCCATTCAACCGATTGTTCAACGATGATCCATAGTGTTGTGATTTGGTATGTGCACGACCGATCCTTACGGAATCCGGCATGTTGGTCTCGAAGCTAAACGTCTAGTGAATACTTCATCCGACTGAGCAACACTTTTGGAAAATTTCCCTGGCACCGATAAAAGTATGACGCCTCTGTAATTCTCACATTTGCTGAGACATCCTTCCTTTGGCATCTTGATGAGATGTCCTTCCTTCCAAACTTTCCTAAATAAAACGTAGATAATGTTTGCAGTTGCCTTTTTGTCTGACATCAGTGCTTCAACTGGTATATTGTCAGGTCCTGCTGCTTCCCCACTCTTGATTTGTCTGATGGCCATCCTGATCTTTTCGATTGTTTGTGGGGTGACATCTATAGGAAAGCCTGTATGCGCTTCCTCGATGTCCGGTGGGTTTACTGGGGCTGTTTTATTCAAGAGTTCCCCAAAGTACTCTACCCATCTGTTCCTTTGTCCTTTCAGGGATTGTCTTGCCTTGTTTGTCCTTCACAGGTCTTTCTGGTTTACCATATTTCACTGCCAGTTTTCTCGTCGTGTCATATAGCTGTTTCATATTTCCTTCTCTTGCAGCGTTGTCCATTGTCGCTGCTGGGACTTCCACGTATTTCTGCATGTCAGCTCTAATACTATTCTTAACTTCCATGTTTGCTTCAGTGTATTCAGTTGTGGCTTGACTTTCTCTGTTCTTGTTCAACTGTTGTTAATCGCTTTCTTCTTGTTCTTCCTTTCTTGAATCTTGTACAGGCCCTCTATAGAGATCCATTCCTTATGATGATGCTTCTTGCCTCCCAGAACCTCCTGACACGTTGAAGTAAGTGCTTCTTGGATCCCTTTCCAGTTGTCCTCATTAGTAGTTTCTTCTTCCTTCAGTAGGTCTTGTAAGGCTTGGAACCTGTTGTTGAGAGATATCTTGAATAAGATGAGTTTGTTAGTATCTCGAAGGAAGGCTGTATTGAACCTTTGTAACCCTGTTCTCACAGTTGTTCAGTGTTTCTTTAACTTCAGTTTCATCTTCACCACCACCAGGTGGTGATTTGGAGATTTGCCAGCTCCTCTTCTGGTTCTCACATTTTCAATTGTACTTCGGAATTTTTTATTGATGCAAATATGATGCATCTGGTGCTCTGTGGTGTGGTCCTGTGAGATCCATGTAGCTTTGTGTATGAGTTTGTGTGGGAATATTGTGCTGCCTATAATTAATCTGTTGAATGAACATAGATATACTCATCTCTCGCTATTCTCGTTCGTTTCTCTTAGTTCTTGTAGTCCCATCATATCTTTATATCCGCTCTTGTCCCTTCCGAATTTGGCGTTCAGGTCACTCATAAGGATGGTCACGTGCTTTCCTGAGCATTTTGCTATGATCTATTTTAGCCTCTCATAGAACTAATCTTTATCGTCGTCGTTGCCATCATTTGTGGTTACACTACACTGGATAGCATTCATTGTAATGCCCTATTCCTTTGTTTTGAAAGATGATTTGATGATGTTGGACCCATGAACTTGCCATCCTTTAAGTGCTCCTCATGCTTCTTTGGACAGCATCAGAGCATTTTTCCTCTTCGTGATCAGAATAGAGCACCATCCCTCTCAAACTCAAGCTTTGCTTTCCAGATTGAATTCAATGTGTTTCACGTATTCAGAGAACTACCAAGATGTATCTTCTCACTTCCGGTCCTTTTGATTTTCCACATTGTTCAAACGCTCTATGTGCCTATATTAATTGTTGCTCTGGTTGTTAGAAAGAGCATCGACTGCGTGACTTGAGACGAATCTCGGCTTTTATCACGGGGGGTCATAATTCTTACTTTAACCCGAAGGACAGAGTTTAAATAATTTAATTTGTTTATTCTGGTTAGTGTTTTTGAGTAAGGTTGTTTTCTGCGGGATAGGGTTACTGACCTCACGACCAACTCTCCTACTTTACCCTGTCTTGAAAACGGCAGCAACTCTGGAAGAGCTACAGGCGGAGTCATCGTGATTACTACTTCTATTCTAATAAGATTGCTAGTAATTCAAAGGTCCATTGTCAGTATAAACCCAATTCATTTACAAAGAGGTCTAATCCTGGTGTTACTCCATTATTACTATTCTTTCTATCCAGTTGTGTTCACTCAGTCCCAGGACAATTTGATTGTTTATCAATAATGTATTCTGGTCCTTAATTAATTCAATCATCATCATTCATCTAGATAAAGTATACTACAAGGACTCCAGGCGTAGTTCCATTGTTGAAATGAAAGTGTCAAAACTTATCTTTCAGGAAGGAATTCCAAGTTAATCTGTAACTAAAATTACTAATACTTTTATTTTGAGTATAACCAGCAACAAATTTTCTTTCCTTGAGTGTTGCATTCTACCTATTAAACACCAAAAGGCCATATTGATGGAATGTGAATTTCTGGTCATTCAGAATGAACTATTGATAGTTGGATTAAAAAAATTCACGAAGCATTCAATCACCGCTTTCTTTATTGCTACTAAAAATTTTTTTGAAGGGTTGTTTAAGAACTTAATTACTTCCAATTCATAGTGTGAAGATTTCTCTCCGATTCTGAATTACTCCTATTTTACTCTGCAGAGAAGAAAACTTTGGGCCTTCAAATTTCAATGAACAGGAGAAGAATGTGGATCTAGTCCTGATGAAACACCGAAGTGCTAAACATTCTGTGACAACAGAATATCAAAATAATTAGAAGAGATGATTACGTTCAAAACGCCGGGAGGTCTGGAACACCAGTACTGAAAACTAGCGATCTAGGTTTGTAAAAAACATTTATGTCAACCACATACGCTTCCAGTACACAGGCGAGTTCGCTACAACTTCTGTTATCAGAACCAATGTCAAGAAACCTATTGAAGACAAGATGATAACTAACTTCGACAAAGAGTCTAATACTCATCCAGCGAACCTGTGTAGAGAAAGAATGATGAATTGCATAAACCCAAACTCCGGTTTAAGTCGTAGAGAACATAATATCTGTGTGGTTTGATAATCGCTCTTCACAATATTGCGCGCTTAATCCGAAATACAAATGAAGATGATTTAAAACCTTACCCTACCTTCTAGTTCCAATTACCAGATTGTCTCAACCTAAAGCTTGTACTGTTGCTGTCCTTTATAAATGTAAATGCGTTCTGTGCGCGTATTGAGTCATCAATTCAAGCTTTCCCTTATCTTTCCCTTTCCGGTCTTTCTTCATACATGCTACTCCGCAACCTCACCTGGTACCCAAAGTACATTCAAATTAGACGCAAACCGTTAAACAACCCAATACTGGTTCGTATTTAGTGCCGAACATTGTTACTCTAGCTTATCAAGAAGTGTCAAGGTCAATAATGGAAAGCCGAATACTGAAAACAATGAGATGAAATATCATAGTATAAAATGTAATGAAGTAAACATGGAAAGTCTCGGTTCAAAACAAAATTAATAGTAATAGTCTATAAGGAATAAAACGATTGGTCCATTCCCTACAGAGCTGTTTTGATACCAATTAGCCACGATCGCAAAACGACTAGAACTCGTAAAGAAAAGCTTTCGTTCTTGCGCTAATTTACCATCACTTTGTTTTAAATTCGTTGCCTCATTTCTTTACTTATGCTTGGTGATAACACATATACTGTTGCAAAAGCTACAAACTCAGTGATTTTAAACATATCTTTACATCATTTAGACGTGAAATTTTGTTTTACATTCGTCATACCATTCATTTCCGATAAAGTCAACGTTGTTACCAGATTTTCTGTTGTATTCATCAATTGCCGAATTTCTGCTTCTTCCTGTAATTACTGATTTGGCTTCTGATTAGTGATTTCTAAATAATTAAGATAGAACTAAAAGTAGAAAAGAGTTCATGGTTTATGTTAAGTTTTACCTCAACAACACTATATTTGTGTATACATAACCCATTTCCTAAGCATAGAAAGTATAATCTTTTGAATTGTGTGGAATAAATCAACCAGTTCAGTAGGTTACCGTGAAAAGTTCTTACTAGAAATAACAACAAGGGTTGTACAGAACAAAAATGTCATTTTATTTTAAATCATCTTAGCTATCAATGTCTTAAAATGTGTACAAAATAATCAAATTAAAAAGCAGATTTATTTTATAGTGCAACAGTCGTTAGCAGTTTGGGATAAAATCAAATATATTTTCGAAAAATAAACAAGCTCTTCCCTAGCACTTTTTTAACCAAGTCCATTATCTGAAAGTACTTTGTTTCAGTTTATACACATTACGGGGAATTCACCAAGAATATTAAAAACGTCTAAATTAAATATCATACTATAATGGTGATGTCCAGATATAATTGAATTTTATTAATAGTTTTAAAGACATTTTTACAGGTATACATCGTTTACATTAAAAGCTCTTATCTTCAATATTTTGCATCAATATTGTGCAAGTAAATAAAGCACGTCTCAAATGTCTGTACTTTGCCCTAATTTTACTTTTTTACTCCTAAGCAGCTATTGATTATTGAAAATACTATGGGGACAACTTTCTTAATATCGTATTTTGTTTTAGATGCTTCCAAAATTTCTAGATATACAGAAAAACTACGATGGTACTACAATCAGATAAACTGAATATTACCTGTATAGTGCTGATTTGTGAATGAATACTTTCTTGGTTGTAGTATTATTACTAGTAACTACAGTCTTATCCTAAGTTTGGGTTCTAAGAAATCGTCATCTGTATCATTCAAGACATTTATCATTAATATTTACTGAGTAATTTTCTTTAAAATCCCACATATCTATCTCTTATAAGCGAATAATATCTGTCATAATATCAACCGATATTTTGTTTTGCATTTCCTATAATCATAAGAACTAAGTAGGACAGTATAAATTATTACACGGTATAGGAAGTGGATGAGCAACATTAAAAAAAAGTAAGTACATCAGTAATATATTTTATTGAACCCAGTGAGAGAAGTATGCACGACAGTTTATAAAACTTGATGATATTGTTCTACATATACAATACTTTTCTATAATTTTCGTCTCATTAGTTTTGTTCATCAAATTATGAAAACAAATATATTCAGTGTTACACTGTTGCAACAGAGAAGTTCATTGGATTGTAGATTGTTTATCATCTTTCAATGAACAAATATTTTGTTCACGTTTATTAATTTTAACAATCCTTACCGAAACTATCGGATGGATACATGACACATCTTCTGCTCTTGTCTGTTTTATTCTAAATGTAGATATAAATGCACGTCGAAATCTAGCAGACATCAAGCTATACAGGATCGGATTTACTGTTGCGCTCATATAATAAAGAAATCCTAAAAAGGTAAGAAAAATGTGATTGATTTACTAATACCTAAGTATGATTATTAATAAAAACGGAAATTGAAATATTTTACTGTATAAGTTGATATTAGACTCATAAATAACTCCACTGATTTTCGGTTCAAATAACTTGCTTTCAAATTGTAAAATTATTGGTTCGCTTATAAAGCAAAGCTTTTATCCAAATTCTTTGGACTTAAATGTCTAAATTTTAGTTATCACGAACTTGACTTCTCTGGATGCGAAGTATGTTAATAAACAATTATTGATACATTATGTCAACCAGAAGCCAGTCAAATAATAAGTCCATGTGGTCGGCTAGGAAACCACTTGCATTTCTAAAGAAAATGTAGCGTTTGTGGCTAAGTTTTATAAGAAACGAATATATATATTTCACCAATGTATCATCACACTCAAAGAGAACAAATGTTGGATCTCTGAATCTAATACATTTGGTCACCACCAAGTACTTCGTTGTCTCCGGTCATTCACTAAATAATATACATTCATCAGTTTATGCTTATTTAAGGTTTAATTTATAGCCGTTGTTGAATATCAGACAGAAGTCTAAAACTAATCACATATAATAAATAATAAATGTTTACATAAGATGAAAAAGATTTATGATCTAATTATGCAAATAAATGTTTTTCTTACCGGACACATAGAAGAGGAAATCAATCAAAAACCACGTCATTTGGACATTTGCAGAAGTAAGAACACGTTGTAGATGAAATGGGGCCCAACAAATGAAAAAAGCTACCACTACAGCCACTGAAAACAAAAATGTTTGTAGAAGCTTGAGAAATTTCCATGATCATTATTCTTGCTAAACTAGTAAAAAGATTCTCATTTTAATGTAAGGGATACCTCAAGGTTCATTAGCAAACATTATACTGTTATGACCTTTAATAATTTATAAGTCCAGTTGATTGTATCGTGAGATAATAGAGTTCACTAACTTTAAGTTTGCTAATACCTGTTTGACCGGTGACCTTTAATTTAACCAATAAATAATTGCCCGTCACAAATGACAAAAAATCTTTATTTCTACGTGTTCACTCCAATTCCTTCCAACTCCAATAGCCAATCAAAGAACAAAGACAGTAAGTTGATATTCCTTTTCCTGCATAAACCCGAAAAAACACAACATTGTGCATACTAATTACCCGACTATAAGGCACTACAAATCGTAATTTTACATAACTCTGTTAAGTGCATCAAAAGCTAAGCAATAAGCACATAATTAATTAACGATCATTTATAAATTTCTGAGGGATCTGTGGTGATTGTAGTATTTTCACAGTTGAAATCATGAGTTGATCTGAGCTAGACCACTATTGAAAACTTGGAAGAATTGAGCGATCATTTTATCCTATTATGGGGCTCCCCAGAAGTACCCACCAACGGAGGTCTTGGGTTCGAGCCTGTCATGAGGGACCGTGGATGCACACTGCTGAGAAGTCCCATACTAGGACAAAACGGCCATCCTGTGCTTCTAGATTTTCAGTTTTAGTCTAGCTTAGATAAACTCGTGATTTCAACTGTGAAAATTTATGAATAGTTAAACTGATATCAAAAGTAAATGAGTTATATGAAAGCTTATAATTAGGACAATACGAAAATAACATCAATAAAATATTTGTGAATGACACAATAAAACTGTTAATAATTTTCGCCACTAAACAATAATCATACTTCCTTCATCTACCCTAAAAGGCGCATTCATATCTGAAAAAATACATAATATAAGTACCACTCACTTTATCAAGTTTGCTATACGGTTAGTAATCTGTGTAATAAGAATCCGAAAAATTTAATTTCTGTCAAATGTATGCGTAACGGAGGTATAGAAATTGAAAACATTCAACATTTTTGTAGCCGAACATCTGACGATTTTGAGATGATGAACATTTATGTTTAAGGTTGACGTTGTTAGTTCTGTGTTGTCTGAATTTAGAGAACACCTCCAGCAACACCTCCAACACCAAACAGTTTACTATAAATATGATGCTACTAATTAATTTTGTACTGGTTTTTGATGACATAACCATATACACCAAATCACTAATATATTAAAACTAAGGCCTGCATGACTGAGACTTTCCAACTTAATTAATAAAAATGACTCGGTATCGGTACACCGTTTTTTAGCTTGATTATTGTATGAAATAGGTGATTGAGTTCTGTTGATCAATTCGAAATGTGGCCACTAATGTAATTGATTTGGAATGCACTATGTTGATATATTAGGTGGTTGAAGGTAGCCGACAGGAAACAGTTGACCTAGGTCATAAGCATTTTGACGATCATTAGCAAGACGTACCTATAATATTGAGGTAACTGGTGCTCCCTGGAGGATTCAATCCCGCATTATCCAACTTGATGTTTCAAAACACTATAGTTGTGCTTTTCAGATCGTGGTTGACTTTCCTTTCACATATACGTCTTAGTGATAAGTATCAAATAGCATGGAACCTAGGTTCAGGGTTTCTAGTCAACCACCTCCAACCACATAAGATCTCAATACAGTGGATATATTGCAATTTTTTCGGTAGAATCAAATCAGCATTAAGAAGGACTTGACATTTATGAAAATGGTCACAGTGATTAGTCAATTGTTAGCCAGAAGTTTATGAAATATCCAATCAAACTGTCAGTTATGAGCCTTAGAAACCGAATAAATTTAATAGCGTTTAAAACAATATTAAAGACAGAAAAAGAATCTAAGTGTAGGTATGGAAATTATCTAAACCATATGCAGTAGACCAGTATGTTCCTATGTTTAGGTATAAATGTCTACTAGTGGCCATCATGAAGTTCAAATTAACTCCTCGATCATACTGGCTACTATGTTCAGAATTCTGGATACATACACAATAAATTATTTCAGGAAATATCTTTCAGAAGGTGATATTTCTGATTTCAGAGATCTCCCTCACCTACAAAACATTATGTTACATTTACATATGATATAATCATGTCACAAGTAAATTTACCGTTGCTTTATCTTAGCATGACCAGTATCCCTATTCATCTACAGCAAGAGTGATTAACATTTACACGATCTAACATATACAGACTAGAAAGTCAGATGTATGAATATCGTGGATATCCGTGCATCATGAATTTTGATAAACAATAAATCTATGTTAACGAGTGTTTGTGAAGACCAAGAATAATAAAATAACCGTTCACTGAAGTTTCACTGAATAGTTCAATTTGTTCTCTCAAACTCATTTCCTACAAACAATTTTTAATTGGCCAATAATCTTAGGTTTACCCATTGCTTAATATTTACAATTTTTTAAACTGGGTGTAAGTGATATATCAGGTGAGTACTTCAAAGATAAGCGAAAAACTATAAATATTCCAGGGAATGTAATAAATATCTAATTTTATGCAAATGTATGCCTTTGTGATAACCTTACCGTTTTCTTATAGTGTCGTCGTATCTAATGTTTTATTGGCTCATTTTACTTTGTTTTCCTCATTTGTTTGACTGTATTTTAAGGATTGGACATTTAGATCTCCTAAGTGCCTTTTTTAGCTACTTCATGGGTTCTCTGAGAACTAACTGTGATGCATAAATTTTGGTTTCAGCAACTTATAGATTAATCAACTGAACAAACCTTTTGTGCTTTCATCAAAAATATTTCCTAGTATAATAGTTATCAACAAAATCTACAATTCTAGAGAAGTTGTCTTATTACTTCGTAGTCTAAAATGATACTACATATGTAATTTCTCAACGACTTACCTAACATTCTAACAATACCTCTTCGACAATTTCCTGATGAACGAGTTTTGGATATGCTGCATGAAGATGATTTACCCTTTCCGTGTTTGGACTTACTCTGTGCACGAAGACCGAGATTTGAATGGCTTAATTGTATCGCCATTAATCCATACAAAACAGACATAATAACCATTGGAGTAAAAAAGAATAAAAAAGTCCATAATTGTAAAACGACTGGAATACTGAGATATGCAGCCCATTTTGAATCCTGATATGTGAAATATAATAAAATTTAATTAACAGTTTAAAACGGAAATATTTTGGCACAATCGTTATAAAGAGTAATAGTAAGTGCGATAGAAGTTTTAAATAGTTACCCGGTAGAAATAATAAATAAGTAACAGAATTACAAATTAAAAAAGGCTTATGAAAAATCGGTGTGATCTATTTTTTCATTATTAGTAGAGATATCTGTTCAGAGACGTAGATAAAAATTCCCCATGAAACACTCCAACTATCTTCAAGTGGCGATGCTTAAAAAAACTACATAGCGTTAGATATATAAAGTCTGAAGACAGAGCTCTGTCTACCTATATATTTTGGTTATTTCTTTTCAGCTTGTTTATCTTTTGTTCTTTTCGTCTTTAAATTAAAAGTAGTCTTATCTTCTCTAGTCAAACTAATTCTAGCAACTAAAATTCACGAATTTCATTCATTCTCTAGCCAGTATTATCTTACAACCATCAGTCATATCCCACTCTCACTATTTACAATAACCCTTATTTACCTGCTTAATTTTTCACTCCTCATTTGTTCATATGATCTTCAGTGACACATAGTACTTTTGCTTTCAAGTTAGCGTAACGATTGATTTTATACGTTTTATCCACTCGTATGAAATACAGTGTGCCAATGCCAATGATAAACGTACTTACTAACAAATAAACCTATCATCATATTAGTTATTTCATACAATACGACTGTACATATTTTAAGAATAAAATCGTCAGAAAAAAATCTTGATTTGGTGAAACACTTTTTTAATATAAAATATAGTTTGAAATGTTCGATCAGATGATAGCAGTGCATAAATTCATCATAAATTTATATCAAGAAAAAGTGACTATTTTAATTCAGTTTTGATGCTTAGAATGTCATTCACAATTTGTAAGCAATTTATATCTTGAAAAGATTACAACATTTTGCATCGACTGATGTGTAAATACTGAATCTCGATTTGTATGTTTTTATGGCAAGTGAGGCTTTTGCTGAAACTGTGTTCTATTGCTAAAAAATCAGTTCGTAAAAGCATTTTTAACATCATTGGACACCGGCTCAGTAGTTTAGAGATGAAACGTTTGCGCGAAACTGAAAGTAGTGAATTCAATTTCTGCGTGCGGGATCGTGAATGCTCACTGTTGAGGAGTCCCATACTATGACGAAATGGCCGTCCAGTGTTTACAGGTTTGCAATAGTAGTCTAACATTGACTGGTTCATTATTCTAAGGAAATTCAACAATCTCAAAGAATCTTCTACTGACATTTTTATTGACTGAAAGTTATTGCGTTTGATAAAGTATGTTCAAGATATCTCATGAATCATCGCTAAAATGATGATAATCGAAAATCTCAAACTATCTTATCTCCATTTCGTCAACAGTAAAGCAATTTTGGATCCTGTACTTTCCTTTTATAGTACACTTCAATGACTGGGCTTAATAAAAACAACCAGTTTGTTATGCTAACTACAAGTCAAACGAACACAAATATTCTATGAAAAACGTTTGCATGTTTATGGTATACAAAGATCATGTGACATGACTAGTTAGATAGACACAATGATTTCATGTCAGATAACCGAATTAGACGGTAATATTCCTTAGCACACTCCAGTGGGATGTCAGTATCTCTAATATTAAGAAGCGGCTTTGCTAAGTTTTTAAAGTTGCTGGTTCAACAAAATGTATGGATTTTAAACGTTTTTGATGAGCATTTGTTGTGACCGAACTTGACGTTAACTGCCAGAACACACTCAAGACATTGAAAAATCAATCTATTAATCTCAATGTCTAATGATTTGTCTTTATTTTCTGTCATCAAATATACTTTGACGATTTACAATAAATATATTTTTGTTACGTCCCAATGAATAGAAAAATTGTATTTCTGACTTTTCGTGACCTAATGTAAGCTACTTCTTCAGAGTTTTTTCGGTTAGAAATTAAAGTATGGCCGATCAAGTTTCTGCCTATACTGAATTTATGGAGATATGAATATTTTTGACACATCTTGTTCAAATGTTCGACTCTTATTACTGACCAAAAATTGTATATTGATTATTTTAGTGTTGTATACAGTAACGGTTTCCATTTTCTTGAGACTATTCGCAACAGTATCCCGTTTCCGGTCATTTTACATTTTCTTTAGTGAGTACATTTATCTTACAACCATTTGTCTTGTTTCAATATTGTTTCATAATTATATAATGTGCAGACAAAAATTGCATTGTACTGAGAGATTAACACAATCTAAAACAAAGTTTGATAATCTTGTAATCTAGCAGGGAAATCTTAGTTGACAACATAAATCTATGAATATCTGGTACACACAAACTGCTGTTATATACTAATCAGAAAAGGGTTTTGTGGATATTTTAGTAACCTAATAGTTGAATTCACGAGTAAATTGAAGCAAGACCACCATGGAAGACCTATGAGACTCCTCAGAAGTGCGTATTCACAATCCCGCCTCGCAAGTTTCAAACCCAAAACCTATCGATCTCGTGCGCGAACGCCTAAATTCTAGACCACTGAGTCGGCCAGCATCCGACGGTGTTAATGTCTAATTTCAACCAAACCTCGAAGTTGCGCCACCGTCCAGTGCTTCCAGGTCTTCCATGGTAGTCTAGCTTCAATTGACTCATAAATTCAACTATTAAAAATATATTAATCTTATTTAAGGCTAACCATAATTAAATTATGGGGTTCTTTTAAAAAAAATTAACTTTTGCTTAAGCAAAATAACAGTAAATATAGTTTTGATTACCTCAAACAGAGAATTCCATATAAGACAGAGGTAAGATTATCAAGTTCATTTTCATCCAACTATTTTATAAAATGGGTCAGAATTCATTACAATGATTTACAACACTTTAAATTTAGTGAAATAATTCGATTCTTATATCATCTCATTTACTGAATTATTTCTTCTTTTCTTTTTTCATTATTAATTAATATATAACCATTTGGTTAAAGCTTACTCTTGAACCATTCAACTTCATTTCTTTAATTAAGTAATGGAGACTAATAACTGATTAATTTAGTTCTCATCTTTTCTAATTATTTGACACCATCCAAATTTTTTTGTTTTCTTAAAAACAATTATTTTGTCACAATCACAATTCATTTATTAAATGGCTTAATAAGGTTACTAACATTTTCATTTTAAATTTTTTCCAAAAAATAAAGTTTCACCTTACAAGTTTATTAAATAATTTGATTGTCCTTGGAAACTTGTTTTAAAAAAATTTAGTGAAAATTAATCCTTTAGGTATTAACCTAGAAGAAATATGTATCATTTAAAAGTAATGCATATATGTCTTTTTTTATATATAAATTACGATATAAATTCATGAATATTAAAGCAAAAGATATCAGGTTGGTGTTTTATCAAGAGAAGTTTAATAAGCATTCTGAACACTTTGAAGTGCGTTGGTATAAATGAACTATGTTTGTTGAAAAGATTGAACTAAATTAAATACAAGCAAACTTATTTGTTCTTCTATAGATGTGATTGAAGTGGATTAAGCTAATGATCAAACGTTGTTCAAGTATGCTTTGTTTGTCTGCATTAGTGGCTGAAATTTTCTACATTTTTCACCTAATCTTCCACTTTTTAAAGTATCATTTCTGTCAAGATTACAAATGCGTTTTGCTAATTAACGCAAACTAGCAAGAAAACCTGGTTTTAAAAATGTATGTTACCAGTCAACGTCAAATAAAGTACCATATGATGCAACCATTTGCATTGTTACTGAACTCCAACGTCATAGAAAAATTTTGATTGATTAATATGGACTATTCAACACAACATTAATCACTACTAACAAATCAACTCAGTGTATAAATAGATGGCTGTAGACGAAGAGATGTAGTTCAAACAGAAACTACTGATTTTTCTAAACGTCTGGATTCAATAACTCATTCCTAGGAACTATCATAACCTAAATAAATGTTTTATGTGATGCAGAGTCTGTAATAAATAAATCCTATTTTAAATAGTAATCATTCAGACATGTTTTCTATAACACTGTCTAATAAATATATTCTGAGATAATGTGACTGTTGATCTTTATTTTCTTGACGTATCATATTTTAGTTCAATCGGCAAATAGATTATGATGTTTTCACATAGTTATTACAATAGTGGCTATTCTGAAATGGTATTTTAATTAATAATTGACCCTAATGATGTTTGTATACCTAACTATCTTTGTGAAATTATTCCAGATATGACAGCATCTTTAGCTTTAAAGCGTGACATATGTTTATTAGTCTGATTAATTTTGACTCTCTACGAGAATAATTGAGAAAACTAAATTGTTTTTTCGCAAATATAAACCATTTTTATGTTAATGAAACTAATTATCCAGTTATCATTCATTTCAGTTCTAATTATGAGTTACCATGATAGCCTAGTAAGTTTATCCATTCATGGAATGAAACTATGCTCTTCGACACGATTTTATATTTGCATTAAAAACCAAATTGACAGAAGCATTAATTTACATATGAAATATACACTTTTAAATTATTATACATCAACTCCTAGATCACTAATTATAGTATTGGCTTCATTATTGTGTATGTTAAATAACAGAGTTAAGAAAAACTATTTTCCGGGCAAAATTTATTTAAAACTCACATTAGACGGTGCACATACTGCTGAGTCGGGTAAAGCTTCACCTGGTGTCCACATCTCACTGTTTAATAAACAGTCAGGTGTCAAATAAAATTGAATCACTGTAGTGTGATAATGATCAGTGCATGTATTATTTATAAATGCGTCAATGGTAGGTAAACTGACAGCATAAAATACTTTTGACAATCCAGCGATTACTATAGCACAACAACTGCCAATAATCCAGACACAGAAAATTAATAGAAAGCATGATTTAAGAGCATTGATTTGTACCATATACGGTGTATGGCCACGTTTATAATGTGGCTGACCATTTGAACAATGTATTTGTGTACTGTTTCTCATCTGTGAATTCATTGCTTTTGATATTCTTTCACTACTGTGAGATGCTTTACTATTGACATTATGCATATATGAAGTACGATTACACGGATGTCCAGTATCATACTGTGAAAATCGTAAAATTCTTCTAAATGGATGACATATTGATAAATATCGTTCAACGCTGAATATTGTTAAGATCAGTATACTTACTAACGGACATAATTCAGTTAAAAAGATTCTGAACCGACAAAACACTGTTCCCAATCTCCATGGATACGATTTATCCAAAACAGTTTGAAGTTCAAAAGGGAGACCTATAGAAAATTTAGAAAAAGTCAGGTGGTAAAATCCCCAAAAATTATATTTTTTATTCACTAATTTAATTTGATATAATATTAGGTGACTAATTGTTGAATATAATTAAAATGTTTTACAATTTATCCAATATTTTGAAAATAATCAATAATTTATTTTTCATTTTATTAAAAATACGGAAATATGAAAATCGGGAATCGTCTTCAGTAAATTCTACAACTGTAAGTCGATATTCTTGTTCCAAAGGGATAGACAAATTTGAGATGAAATCTTTTAAATTACGGTCCTGACTTCCGATCAAGAACTGAAACCATTCAAATCAAATCTATGTGATTTTTCCTATCAGTTAAAGACCAATATATACATAAGTATATATTATAACGGAGGTATTTTCGGGTAAACGCACAAGGTAACTATCAAGAAAATTGTTAAAGACAAAATTAGATTATTACGAAACCGAATGAATGGTTAGGAGTTGTTCTTCTTGACAAACATAACCGCAATAATAAAATGAATAATATCTCAAACGACGAATTAAAATTCCAGGAACTAACTGACCGGAAATATTACAGTAAAGAAATAGAGAATGATCCAGTAACATTTTTAAAGAAGCTTAGAGATCAGTAGATGATGTTGGCATACATATACGAAACGATTAAGCCGATGGGAATTCATCTGTCAAGGTCATACGGACTAATGAAAATATAAAAACCAAGTGTTCCAATGAAATCAATTTTCATACACATAGTTCCCTTTATTATCTTAAAGAGAGAAGGACAAAAATTGGTGCAATCACAAGACATCTCCTTGATACAGGACATGAAGTTGATATACTGAAGTCCTTCAGGGTGATTAACAAACAATCAAACGTTTAAAACCAGATCTATGTATACAAAAAGAGACAGTAATAAATCTTTCTTTACCCTGGTAACAATAACCGCCACCCTTTCTATTCATTTGCTCCTATTTATTTATTTATTGCGTCATTATTGCAACTCTTTCTGAAGTTTAAATTACATCATACATAAATGATTGATTTCAATTCATATTTTCTTTATTACCATTATTCTATTTTCATGAGTTCTAATCACTATTTCAATGTTCCAGAACTTTCCCTCTCTAACTTTATTTATTTATTCGAATCAAACATTTTATGAGCTCATTAACTCTATCTGAATCTTTGCTACATCATCATACACATGTATTGATCCTTAATCACACTCTTATGTATAAATATGTCAATATCTGTAATAACGTTGATTTTCAAATATTTTAGGTTTTAAGCAGCTGATGAGAACCTAACGAAATAAAGTGAATTCATATTATTCTGCACCAATCTTTGTTCTTGCTCTTCTTAAGAAATCAATTTTGGTCTATTCCAAAATCACTCCATAAGCAGCGTGTTAGGGATGTATTATAATTTCTAAATAAGGTCAAACATTCAAATACTTCAGAACAAACAACAATACTTTTATAAGTAACATCATTCACAAACCTGCCACTCTTAGAAATCGTCAAATATATATGTGTGAACAAATTATGGAAAGTAAAGTAGAAATTCCAATGACAGTTGACGTTATGAACTAATTGTTGCTAAAGTGCACTATAAATGTGAAATTCATGTTCCGTGGCCGTATTTATGGGCAAATGGATGGACCCATAGTGGGTTCACCAATGGGTCCCATATTAGCACACATTTTTTAATCCTAACTAAAAAACTGGGTACTTGTACAAATTAGTAATAACCTTACATTTTGATGCCAACATATGCATGGTACATACATCTTTTGCAAAGATTATCCTGGCTATTTAGAGATTCTCGAGATATTTAGAGAACTCTACCCAACTTTAAAGTTCACATGGAAGGAAAAAACGAGAGGTAGAAAAATTTTTCCAGATATTCTAATTACAAAGAAAATAGATATGTCACTAAAAGTAAACCTATGCAAGAAACGTATTAGAATAAAGAAATACATAGACCCCCTAAATTTTGTTCTTTTTGAATATGAAAGAAAGATGTTGATGAATATTTGCTATCAGATAACCATGTCAAACTCTCCGGATACAATCGCGGAAGAGACAGAAGTTTTGCATAATACTGTAGCAAGCCCTTCGATCTATACAAATATACAAATTTCTTTCTTTCTGGACAAATATCAAGCTTACCAAACACATATGGCACCTTGATCCTATTAACTGCTTTGCACTTATTTTCGCTTGACTAACTATGAATATTTATCAATGAACGATTTACATTTACATATGAACAAATATAGGTCCAATCATCAAGTAAAATAACCCATTGTGTCACTGAATAAAAATAAGCAGAAATCCAAGAAGAAAATTTTGTTTTCGACGAAATTATTTACTTAAACAGTACATTCGTATTTATAGTTATATGGAAAATATATTGTCTATAGAAGGATAGAAAAGATTGCATCATAAATTGATGAGGTTACGCAATAATCAAGGGTTAAGAAAAGTATATAAAGGTCAGATAATTGTCCAGTTGACGGATAAGAAGAAAAATAACAAATAGAATGGTCATAATAATATAAACTGAATAATAATCACCAAAAATTGTTAATGGATAATAATAACTGATTACTGTTTAAAATTGAAAAAGACAACAATTAAAAAAATCAATAATAATCAAATAAAAGTGAAGAAAAAAACCCAAACCATGCCAATAAAGGGAATTAGGTCCAAGAAAGGATGAGAGGTTGGATAAATCGTTTTCGCACTCAAAGTTCGGGGTTGAGTTGGTGGATTGCCAATGCCCCAGCAATGCATAAGATTTTTATTCAACTTTTCTTCGACCCGGTTCCTTTGACTGTGTAGATACCCCCTGATTATTGCGTAACCTCATTTGGCAATAAGAGTCTCGAGTCAATTTATGATGCAATCTTTTCTATCCATCTATAGATATATATTTTCCATATAACTAACAATACGAATGTACAGCTTAAGTAAATGATTTCGTCGATAAGAAAATTTTCTTCGCTGAATTTTCTTTCACTCAGCAAATAAAAATATAGCTAATTAGGCGTCTACCACATACAAATTACACATTCAGAGAAATAGTAATAATTAAGTTATGCAAAACTATGCAGCAAATATTTATCAAAGGAAAACTACAACTAATGTTTTCTATACATATAGTGATGACACTCCAACTGAAAGATAAATAAATATTTTCGTATCCATCAATTCAATTGTTATTACAGTGCAAGTTAAATTGATAGATGTCATGAAGAATGTAATTTGTACTCAGTTTATCTTACTATTTCAAACTAAATCCGTATCAGAAGGGGTTTTTTGGATACTATAGTAATTTTAATAGTTGAGATCATGAATCAATTGAAGCTAGACAAACATGGAAAACCTGGAAGCACTGGAAGGCCATTTCGTCCTATTGTGGGACTCCTCAGCGGTGCACATCCACGACCCCGCCCCGAAAGATTCCAACCCAGGACCTATCGATCTCGCACGCGAACAGTTAACCTATAGTCCGCTGAGCATCCAACGGTGTTAATGTCTAATTTCAACTAATCCACAAAATTGAGCGATACATCCACGATTGTCTTTAGTGAGTTACTATCTCACAACAGACACGGTTGAACTCCACTGGTGACTGCTTCTTACTAGAACTCCAGGAAATACCTCTTGAAGCCAGTCACTAGTGAGCATATGTTGATTAGTATCAGAAGGGGTCCCAGTCATTATCGATATTTTATGAAGTTACGATACAGCTCATAATCGGTATATAATACTTTGCAGTAAATATTAGTTAAATTATTTAATAAAATAACTTTAAAAACCCACTTCTGATGCTAAAGAAACTGAGCTATTCAAACAAACAAATTTCTGTTTCATAATTTATTAACACCAAGAAAATTACTTTTACACTTTCAATAGTCTACTTCCTCTCATAGTCTCTGACAATTATCTAGTGTTTCCAAATTTTCCATGGTGGTCTAGCTTCAATTTACTTATGATCTCAACCATCCACAAAATCTCCTTTGAGAAATTATCAATGTGATTAGCGAAAACCGTTTAATCCAATAAAACACTTAGCTTATCATCAAAATTAAGTCATATATTAATAGTATGGTTCTATTTCTGTTAAATGTCATTTTCATATCTAAGTCAAGAACGACGCAGATATCAATTGAAAATTGAAAAACATAACATAATTAATTAACAAATATTTTTAAACATAAAAATAGAATGTTCAACAAATTTAAAATTGTTTACGTTGAATAATTTGCCATTACATTAGACTTCTATTGTTACATTCATAATAAGGGTAGTGTTTTCTTTTCTTTTTACGTATTCAAAAGGTTCATGATACATTTTCTATTTATTTCCCTAACTCAAAACATCAGTTAGTCAAATTAATTTATTCATATAAACACAAAGACTCATCTGAAAAAAGAAAAACAAGATTGATTTATTGTTAATGTTATATTTTATCAAATATATGTAACAAATAGTCAAGATATCAACAAATCTAAAGCAATTATTATGACGGCCATTGTGATTAGTATTAGGGAAATTCCTAAAACAAACATCGTCACTTTCGATACTATTTAACGTGTTTTGGCAAAGTAAACATAATTATTTTGTTACAGAAAAGAAAGGAAAGAAAAACGATTGCGTAAATAGATGAATTATAAACTAACTCCTTGAGGCAATATTCATTTATACTTAAACAATTTTCAAATATACATCATTTAAATGTTCCTAGATAAATATAAAAAATAAACACAAACTGGTTGTTTAGTATTGAATTGAGTAACTTATTTGTGCGTTATATTCTATTTATAATAAAAGAGTAAACTATCTTATTAAATAATTAGAAGAAATAAACACAAAAACGACTTACGAAAATGAACCAGATATTCATAAACGGTATCACTGTTGGCGTTAAATGCTATACTTATTGACTTGAAATGTTGAAGAGAATTTTCAATGTACAATGGTTACATAAGTGTAT